AACCGAAGTTGATCATTGCCTCTCTACCTACCATTTGCTGTCACTGCAGTCACTGTCACTCAAGAATGTTCGAACACCGATCCAATTGGTTTCCCGAAGTAAACTTATCTCCTATGGGCGGTATGGATCATGAACAGGCGACTACCTTCCAGGCCGAAGTCGGCCAAGCTATAAAAGCAGATAGGGGCGACAGCATTTGCGTTCCCATCTCATTAGATATGGGTCTAAATTCCGAAATGCGTTTCGTAGGCTCGAGCCCTCAAATGCCCCAACACCTAGGGCTGGCTGATGACAGCTAGTAAGCTAGAAATAGCCATTCCAATATCTCTTTCCTTTGTCGGTTATGTCATCCAGCCTACATCATTAGCAATCTGACCAGTCGGTCACGCCACACCGACACTGTATGTGGGATGACTGCGTGGCCCAGATTATTCCGCGAATTATCCGAGGCACGAAATTTAGCGTGACTATCATAACTCCAAGTGCGTGAAATTGTTTACTATGAGGGAAATGCACCAAGCCGTTGATCTCGCTCTGTTCAGCTACTGTTCTAGCCGTGAAGAGGAAGACCGTAGTTTGGTTAGATGAATGCACTTCTCACACTCGAGGAACACACTTTCCACTGACATGTAAAGTGTCACTGTCGGGAACTTGAGTTTAGTGATCTTAGGCATGGCCAGGGGTAATGCATGTGCCTGTGAGAGGGAAGGCGTAGTGTGGTATAGGCGACGGTGTTCTACCACAGGTTTTTATGGCGGCGCAGGCCACAGTTATCAGCGAGGGAGCTAATGATCTCGCACGACTGAAGCTAACAATTTCCACTAACAGCATACCGCATGTATACATGACCACCCCAAAGATAAACGAGGTCAATGTTTTTAAACTTAATCCTAAAGTGTGACATGTCTCATGTAGATGACAGCGTTGCTGTGGCAGTACTTGCTCTGTGACGGCCTCCGAGGGCTCCAGACTGAGTTAAATGAATTAACCATCTCCCCCACACACCGTATAAAGCAGCGTTCAGCTGCTATCTGGGTCCTCTATGCTGGCCTTTGTAGTAGCCTATGTATACACAGTCCTACTGAAATCTCAAAAGTAATATAATTTGCTTATTTCCACCGTTTTTCTTTTAGTGAAATTGGACCTCGCAGCAAGGTTTGGGCTGAGCCGAGTGTCGTGGAAAGAGCGGCGTATGAATTTGGTGAGGTCGACCAGATTATTTCTGCCGCTGAAAGTCTTTGTGGGCCCTATCAATGGGGCACCTACGACATTGTCGTTTTGCCTCCCAGCTTCCCTTACGGCGGCATGGAAAACCCCTGTCTCACCTTTGTAACACCATGTCTGCTGGTAAGTATCTTCAGAGAAGTTCCCTTATCGTCCAGGTCTTGTTAATTGCGACGATGATGATGAGGATGATATTTCCTCATCGATTTTCATGGTGTTGTTAGATTAGCGGGGTGGTACAGGAACAACGACTTGCGGTGGGCTATAATTAGACGGGACTTGCGCTGCATCAATCTCACTCTCTCTACTCCCCAAACTAAGCCGGCTTCAAGACAAGGTCAAGAAAACCGAAGATGGTAGATGGCGCAGGCCCACACACCGTGGGCTAACACAGTCGCAAAACCACAGCAAAAAAGACCAGCGGCGTGGATCCCCGCTGAGTCGGAGTGCCATAAGGGCCACTTTCAGAAGGAGCCATTGCAGCCTGACTCTCAGTCCGCCAGTCAACCACTCCATACAAAACAACACGTACTGACCTGACCGCGCAGTCCGAGTTACCCCGTCAGTCGGCAGCCTCCCCAGCCGTGGCTTTAAGCGCACCGTCTTAGCTTCAAGCGCGTCAGATTTTGTATGGTGCGAAA